GATTACTAATTCATTCTTTGGTTGCTCTTGTTTTAAAATGTGTATCTTTGTGTTCTGCTGAAGCCTTTGGGGATGTGAAGTATTCTTTATTATATATCATTGATTTCTTTCACTGAAGAATGAATTATCAAGTTTTTGGAAATAAATCAAACTTGATGATTAAAGCCATTAAAATTAACTGTGGTTAATCTTTTCTTAAAAATCTTGATAATTTAATCTCAAAATTTTAAATTATGATATTTTTAGCTTTAAAAATAGGATTAGGATACTCAAGAACAAGGCCCTTGCATTTTAACCTTAATTACAGTGTCATAGAAAGTTTTTATCTCATGCCTCATTACAAAAACTTAAGTTCACACCTTTCCCTTACAACAGAGGATCTCAAATTTTAGTGTGTAGCAGAATCAACGGGGAAGGTTTATTAAAATACAGATCGCTGGGTCCCGCCCTCATAATTCTGATTTAGTAGGCCTGGGGTGGGGCCTGAGAAACTGCATTTTTAACAAATTCCCAGATGACATTTACTTGAGACCACTGATTTAGACAGCTAGTATACTTGTCTGAGAAGAAACATCTTAGACTCCTCTTCCATTATTTTAGGAAGTCTACTGGAAAGATGTCTACCTGAAACTGCCTAAGATATAAGCAATTTTCATTATTTTCTTCAATTCCATATCAAGATTTGAGGGCTACATTATTACCAGCTATTTACTTTAGTAAAGAAGTGTGTGGACTGATACTCAGGTACAATCTTTTTCATTTAAATAGCCATGATCTACCTTACTGAAATTAGATTTTTTTAAAAAATAAACAAACAGCTATATTAAGATATAATTCACATATCATACAATTCACATATTTAAAGGATACGATTCAATGGTTTCTGATATATTTATAGATATGTACAACTACCACCACAGTCAACTTTAAAACATTCACTTCCAAAGGAAAGCGCATACCCATTAGCTGTTACCCTTCCAGCTTCCAACCCACTCACCCTTCCCACCAAACCCTAAACAACAATTCTACTTCCTGTCTCTAAAGATTTCCCTATTCTAAACTTTTGTATTAGTTGGAGTTATATACTATGGAGTCTTTTATGACTGGCTTACAGCATAATGTTTTCAAGATTTATCTGATAGTATAGAATGTCAGAACTTCATTGCTTTTTATGGCTGAATAATATTCCTTTGTTTGTATATACCACATTTTGCTTACACATTTGTCCCTGGATGGATATTTGGGTTGTTTCCACCTTTCGGCTATTATAAATAATGTTGCTACAAACATTCACGTACAGATTTTTGTACGGACATATCTTTTCACTTCTGTTAGGTATATAACTAGGAGAGAAATCGCTGGATCATATTGTAACTATGTTTAATCATTCGAGGACGACTGGACTGTTTTCCACTGTAGGTGCACTCTTATATTCCTGTCAGCAGTCTCTAAGTGTTCAGTTTTCTCCATATCCTCACCAAAACTTGTTATCTAGCTTTTTTGGTTTTAGCTATTGCATTTACTATAAAGTAGTATTTTGATTTACATTTGTTTGATGACTAACAATGTGGAATATCTTCTCATGTGCTTATCGATCATTTGTGTATCATTCTTGGAGCAATGTCTGCTCAGATCCTTTGCCTACTTTTTAGTGAGGATAATCCATCTTTTTGTTATTGAGTTGAAAGAGTTCTGTATGTATTCTAGGTATAAGTCCCTTATCAGATATATGATTTGCAAAGATTTTCTCCTAATCTGGGAATTATCTTTTCACTTTCTGGATGGTGTCCTTTGAAATATAATTAATTTGTCACTATTACTAATTCTACCTCATCTTTCTACAACTAACTCAGAGCTTATAAGATAATCATCAACTGAGTTAAAATTTTCTGGAAAAAAAAATAATTTTTGGTCCTTGGCCTTACAACCCAGAAGTTCTTGATAATCAGAGGTTTTAGATTACTCATGGCTAAAAAAATAGTACATTTTTAAAAAATTGAATTCATTTACATGTTATAAAACATCTATTATTTGGAATCAGGCTAAAAGTAAAAATAGATTGTGACTATTGTCATGTAGTGAAAATTGCCTTCCTCCTTATCCCTTCTTTGCCAATAGCCCCTCATTGGAGCAAAGTACCTCTCAGTCCCCAAGATCTATTCCCGTGCTATATACTTGATAAATGCTCAGTAAATACTTAGAAAACCAAACTAATATCATTAATGAAAATATCTATGAATAAAGCTATGTGAAAACACTGCTCACATTACATATACTTCCTGGTGAGAGATTGAGCAATTAGTGATATGAAGTTTAGTCCATTTTGGGTCACTGAAGAATGACTCAAGAGTATGAAAATGGTTTCAATTTGGTTTTATTTAATAAAAGCTTTATATTGTATGGGCATCTCTGGTTGCACTAGCATAACAGAATCATTGAAGTGATAGATTTAACTGGACCAAAGTTAAGTTTAAATATATTCAGGTCTAGGAAGCCATCCTCCAAACCTGTTCATGAATTTGATTTTAACAGCAAGCTTATGATAAAATCTTATTTAAAATTTTTTAAAAAGTAAAGGCAAATTTCACAATTACAAGGAATAGTATTTCTTGTCACATTCAGCAGATACCAAATCATTATGATCTATGCATAGTCCAAAAGAAATCTTTAAACTTAGAAAAATTATTCTTAGGAACTGTACTTATGATCTGAATGATAACTTTCATGAAGGCACTCTAAAAACAAAGAGAACGCCTTATCTCTTGCAGTTAAATTTCAATAAAAATTTCAATTATATGGAGCCTTGGATTTTTCCTGTAACACTCACATTCAATTTTGTGCTCAGTATTAAAGGACTTAAAGTCAATTTCTTTACCAGTGAATTATGAGGAACACAAATTAAGATGAAAGAATGAACTGGAAATATGCATGCAAATATTCATATTATACAGCATAATCTGTAAATCTAGTACTAATGAGACTCAAGATTTAAGTGGTTGAAGAATGTGTTTAGTGAATTATTGTCAATCAATGTCTCTTTTAGGATAAGTGTAATCTTGAATGGCAACACACCTATTATTATAAATTCCTAACTAAGTACAGTACTTCATTATTTCAAAATGTCACTGTCAACTTACAGAGTAACAGATAAATATCTTTCCACCATATATCCAATTACTTTCCCTCAGAGTAAATGAAACACTATTAAGAAAAATGACAAACATAATGTTTTTACAGCAATAAAAGAAATGTAATGAGCATTAAAACTCTGAACTAGTTATAGCACTCCAAATTTTCAAATTTGTTAATGTGGATATATCAGGTTTTATAACATTGTAATTGAGTATTATTTTAAGTAACAGCATTTTATGTTAATTTTTCCAAGTATTCATTTATTCAATCATTTGACAAACATTATTCAGTGTCTACTTTGTTCTAGGTATATTGTCAGGGGATAGAGTTACAAATGTAAATACAACACAACACTTGCCCTTAACAAACTTATAGCCTAATGCAAGATAGAGACAAGTAAATAAAGTAAAATACAGTAGTACAATGTTATATTAAAATCATCTACATGTTTCTCATTTGTAATAGCTAAAGGCTATTATACTGAAAACATTTATTATACCTGGAAACTTTTTATCATTGCTCAGAAATCAAACTTTCCCTTATTTATTCTATGGAAATATTTTTTATAAAACAAACAAAATTAAAAAGAGTAATTTTATAGATATTTGTGAACTTAGCATCTCAAATTAACAAATGCTCATATTTGTTTTGTATTTTATCTTAGAGCTATTTTCCAAATCCAGAAATTTCTTGACTGATAAAAGCATTAATGATTATTTGAGATTATTATAGGTCCCACTAGCTATATGACCTTGGCTAAATTAACTTAACCCTTTTGATTCTCAGTTTTCTCATCTAAAGAGTGAAGATAATAGTACCAATCTGCAATAGATTATCTTCCATATGCCTCTCGGTATCCATGCTCCACCTCGCTTTTTGTGCAGGGAGGTTCTCTTGCCTTTCAGCTTCTAGTTGGGTTAGGTCAATAGCTGGTACTAGCAGGAGTGTGGAAGGAAAGCAAAGCTATTCCCTGGTTTTCTCCTAACCAGGTCACCAAGGACTAAATATATCCCTCTATAGAAGCGGTCTTCATATACCACCCTCTGCTAGGACATTAAGCCTAGGGGTGGTAAGGACTCGCTTTAGCCCTAGTCTGCAGTATCCATTGTTGACTTCCAAAAACCCTTCCCCTACCTTTATAAACAGTTCCCTTATTAAACTTTTTTTCAAATAACCCAGTTTGAAAGTGCCATCTGTTTCCTGCCAGAACTCTGTCTGATTCACATGCAACTTCATGGGGTTGTTTTGAGGATAACATGAGATGATAAATGTAAAATGTTTAGCACAGAGCCTAGCACATTATAAATATTCAGTAAGTGTTGATATCATTATCATTACCAATATTGTAGTCATTATATTTTATTAAAGGTTTCATGCTCATGTTGTCTATACCACCTGAATATGTTCAGAAGACTGAGAAATTCAGAATTCTGGAGATCTACTAATTCTCACAGTGCTTCAAAAATACGTTCAAATGTAAAATGTGTTTGTTGCTAATCAATGTCAATATTTAAAAAGAGAAAAAAAGACCTTAAAAGTGAGTGAAAACTCATATAGTAGATAGGATTTCCTGGACTATAGTTTCTCTTGTAAACATGCTTTGGAATTCATTTCCTGCAAATTGACCTTCTGCCACTATGCCAAATTTAGCAAAGTATAAATGTCCATAAAGTTAAACAAATTGTTGGGTCGTGGGGTCATGAAAAGAATGGACTGAAAGGTAAACTGAATGGCATAAAAGTCCTTGGTTAATCTGGAAATGCATCTTCATCATCTTTACTTATCAATCATGACATAGGCAAGCATCACCATTTGACAAATTATCTCATCAAAATCCTATTAAGGGTCTACTTAACCTTTCACCTTACCTCATCCTTTATATCTTCCTGCTGTTGGGCTGTGAAGATCTCCATTGCAGCCATGAGCCTCATCATTAACTCATCCACTGTTGTGTTACCTAGCAACACATGGAGATGGACGACTTCATATTATTAGTTATTATAAAATGTAAAGTCATTCTAGAATTAATCAGTAAGAAATAACCACAGTTTAAAATAATACAGACTAGTATGCTGTTATTTAGTTAAAATTCTTTCATGTTTTCATTGAAAAGTTTCATATGTTCAATAAGAAAAAGTAAAGCAGTATCCTGGCAGTTGAAATTTTAGAATATTTAGATTTGAGGGAACAGTCTCTTAGTAAGAGGGATTTTCAGCACCATAAATAAGAATGTCCAAGTCACGAGGATTGAAAGTTCTTTCAAGTTACCCAATAACACTCGTAACAACTACCATTTGTTTATATGCCAGTGATTAGGCTAAACACTTGATATATGTTATCTCATTTAATCTGTACGACAATTCTATGAAGGTGTCATTATGATTTTTATTTTAAAAAGAAGGAAAATGAGACTTAGAGAACTTAAGTAGCCTGCCCAAACAAGGTCAAGCTGGTTAAGTGGTGGGGCCAGGAATTGAAACCATATGAGTCGGACTCAAAGCCTGTCCTGTTTGCCACCTCAATATACTGTTTACTTAGTATTATTTCTTATCACTAAAAATTCTTTGGTGAAACAAATGGTAATTCAATTTCTGAAAAACACTGATTTCTTTTTCTTGACTAAGTGATATTTTTCCCTTTTAGCTGTTTCAAATGACTATACTATAATCATTATGAAGAAGGTATTTTAAATGTTTGATTTTCTTTAATGCTATTTTATTCCCTGTCCAAATCCATAACAAATGTATAGCACATGTACGCCATTTCCGGAATGTGTTAAGATCTGTTATTTGCTTTGGGTACATCTACAAGAGAGAAATTCATGAGTATACATAGAGATATAGCACTTCTTTCATTCTTTCAAACCTATGGGCAAAAGAGTCTGTCCTTCTTCAGAGCCTGAGAAGGGGTCTTCTTGTTCCGTTAATAAAATGGCCACAACTTAGATAACAAATAGCTAGTATCCTTGCTGGTGTTCTTCCAGAAAATGGCTTGACTAACATAATCTTTCAATGGTCCTTTCCCCAATTTTCCTTATGACCACTGGCAGCATAGGGTTAGAGAGCATCTGTGATCATTAGCAAAAAAAAAAAAAAAAAAAAAAAAAAAAAAAAATTCAGTTGCAAAGGCTACTAATTTGGTCACATCAGCATTATTTTCTCAATAAATAAGCTGGAGAACAAATATTATGCTGGCGTCATATCATGGTGCAGAGAATACAAAATTGGTTTTGTAGTCATAGTTCTAATCCTAGTTCCACTACTTACAAATTATATGATCTAGTACCTAGAAACTGTCTAGCACATGATAAGAGCTTAATAAATATTCACTTAGTAAATGAATGGATAAGTGAATGAGTGAGTGAATATAGCTCTCTAAGGATCAATTTCCTTATCTGCAAAATGAAGATCACATTACCTCTGTAGGGTTCTTAGAAGGATTAAAGATAATGGAAAGTGCCTGATATATAGTACACACACAATCACTGATAGCTATTATTAATATGTATGACAAATGGTAAAAAGTTTAGGATCACCTTCAACATAGATTTTGTTACTGGGTAAATCTTTGGGTTTTCATTTCTTATTTGTAAACAGTAGTAGTAACTATGACTCAAATTATAGGGCGTGACTACTTTATGGAGGGCACTGGAATCATCAGTGGGAAAACACTATAGTTGTAGAGGTGACTATAGACTGGCCACTAATTTCTAGGCTTAAGCCACTGCTTATCAACTATGCCTCAGCCCTAACTGTAAGGATTCACTGCCAAAATGGACTTGCAGGTACTTTATACCTAAGCCCTTAATGATCTAAGATGAAAAAAGTTACAAGTTAATGCAATTCAGGGCAAATTTATTCTTTAGAGCCTTCTTATGTTGGTGTCATATCATGACATCTGTAGTGGTTTTCAAACTTTTGATTTTAGAACTCCTTTATTAACTGTTGAGATCCCTAAGGAATTTTCATGTGGGTTATAATTATCAACATTTACTATGTTAGAAATTAAAGCTGAAATATTTAAAATACATATCAATTTTTAAAGTAACAATAAAACCATTATGTTAATATAAATACCACATTTTTATAAAAAAAAGACTATGTTACAAAAGAAAAAGTTTAGTGAGAAGAATGGCATTGTTTTAACATTTTTTTTTTGCAAATTTCTTTAATGTCTGGCTTAATAGAACACAACTGGATTCTCATATCTACTTCTGCATTAAACCAATTATAATATATTGTTTTAGCTGAAATTTATAAAGCAAATCTGACCTCACACAGATGTCAAAAAAAAAGTCACATTTTTTTTTAACATCACCACTGATGTCATCAGAAAAGTAAGCTGTCAACCTAATGGCAACAAATACTGTAAGTTCTTTTTCTTGGAGTGGCAGACTCACTTTGTTCATGCTAGAGAAAATATCTACCAGGTATAGTTTGTCAGTAATTTTCAGTTATAAAAATGTTCTGCCATAAAAAAAAAGTTACTAGATTGGCTCAAGCAACCACACATTCTCTATTTACCCTATGCAATTCGTTCCCTAAGCAAGTCTTCTTTAACATTATTTATAAAACCAAATGCTCTAGTTATAAACATAAAATACTAGAGGTTTTATTTTATTTGAATTTTAAAGGCACTAAAATTTACACCCATTCCCCCCATTATGTTATCTGCTATAAAACTTTTGATCTAGATAGGGGCAGAAATTAAGCATCTTACACACAAGCTTTAGCTTGGGGCACTTGAAACATCTTTTTCCCTATGGCATAAAAAAGATATACTGTTTTCAATTTAAGCTTTGCCATGAATAAGGTAATATTTTTTATGAATCCTTGGGGTACATTAGTAATGGTTTAAAAAAATCATTCACTTATGTTTTTGGTAAAGAATGTAAAGACGAATTTTTTTTGAAAAGTTTAAATTCACAGGTATCCTATAGCTTCGTGCCTTAGGGATGCATCCTAGACACAAATTCACACAAATAAGGGGAAACAACAGGCACTGTAAAAAATTTCATGTGCAATATCCAGTCATTGGTTTTTCTAGGTAACTAAAAATAAGCATTTCTTTCAACTAATCAACATTATAGCAAGAAGTCTGTCTGTCTAACTATCTATCTACGTATATATGAAGTGTTATATTTGAGAACCGATTATGACTTAACCGCTAGTTTAGAGAATTTAGCAATTCTGAACATTTATGATTACCCTATATCCCAAGGGCTGTGCAATTTTATTAAGACCTTTCTGTTGGATTTGCACATAGCTTATTTCATTTTTCATAGCACATATTCTTTTTGAATCAGTTCTTCTTCAGTAAGTTCTATATTTTAAAATGCAAAGATATTCACGAATACAGAGAATTACTATCAGCTTTGATGGTAAATATTATAAGATTATCACATACAAAGGAGACATTGTACTCCCCTTGTGACATGTACTTTACCTTGTATCACATTTAACACTTCATTGGATGATCGCTTTCCCATAATAATCAGAAAAAGTGGAAACTGATCTGTTTTTTGAGTCCGAATGGTTTGTGCAACAACACTGCCAAAGTGTCTATTGCACATTGTGAGAAATCTAGAATGAGACAAAATCCAAAGTAAGTTTCATTTCAGAGTTAAATAAATTTACTAGTATCACAACAAAAAATTCAGTAAGTGTTAAATTAGTTATGTTAAAATTAGACAGCTTGTCTTGTATCGATATGTAAAGTCTTGCTGTACTGAGTTTTCAACTATGTCATAAATGATACAGAAATGATTATCATATAGAAAAGTGGGCAGCACACTCTAAATGCTGTCTGGGGCTGATAGCATAGTATTCTTAGCCTTAAACTTTGTAAGCTTACTACTTTGTACTATGAGAAAACAAACAAAATGAATTTTAAGAGAAAAGAATTTCTTAAATAGACAAATATTGTGTGATACAAAGTGAAATTGACTAGCATCACCCTAATCCAAGCAGGATTTAGCAACATTTTCACAAGTTAGAATCAAAAATTGTAGTTTAGAATTGTGTTTTCTCCAACAGTAGCGGGTCTTCTAGTTTCATACTTAGTATGGGATAAAAATAATAATTCTAAGCTTTTGACCAAAAAAGCTCAGAGATATTAGCATACCGAAGTCTAGCATTAGTATTCTTAACACGATCTGGAATAAATGAAAAAACTGATAAAGCTTTTCTCTTCTATTAGAGGAGTGTTTGAAATTAGCATTTCTTTCAAGAGAAAAGGGTAGCTTATGATATGTTTTCAGATCTGATGGTAAAAAGTAAATGTCATAATAATAATGAATTATGAAAGACCAAATGCAAATACAGAATGCTTTAATAAGATCCAATTTAATAAAGTCTGTAAAAATAATGGACTTTTAATAACACAGGTCACAAAAGGCAAAACAGTGGAAATTCTGGGGACTAGCCATTGGTACTGGCTTATTAATTCTTAATTATGTCCATGAAAGGCAACTTAAATCGTGTGTTTTCTTATGCCTTATGGTAATATTTTAGGTAACAACTCCTCTGAAATGTGTGTTCTAGCTGATGAGCAAAGTCCTGTCGTCACATGCATTAGAAAGTAAATCTATTTAAAAAGACGAACAGCATTAAAATGTCATGTGCTCGGATTCATTTGATATCCAAATTCAAAACAGAATCACACTTCTTAATTTTTAAAGCCAATATATTTCTTGTCTATAGAAATCCATCCCAGAAATTTAGGTGAATCCTCCAAAAAACCTGTGCTGTGACTATATAAAGAAAACCTTGTTAAGGGACACTAGAACTGTCGGCAAGGGTGTCAAGACAAGTTAGCACCACTGCAATTAAGTTCATTGGAGGCAGGCTCCTACACACATTTAGAGCAGCAATAGCCAGACCTCATGCCAATCTGAAATGACAAGGCCTTAAGAAACCCATTGTCGGCCAGGAAATATCAGTGCCACTATGAAAATTCAGATCTTCACATTCCACAACTATTATGGGATAAAAGGTGTTCAAGCAGCCTAAGCCTCCATACCAAATTTCACACCCATATAGCTTTAGTTTATCAATGGAGATGTATAGTTTAGGAGACTAGAAAGTTAAGATCTCGTTTTTCTTTCCACTTCTTACTAAAATATCTGAAGTCAGTCTTGACCCTGATCTGATCATTGGCAACATCTGATATTAAAGATGTCAAAAAACCATCTGGAATGCCATTTCCTACAAAAGGGCGAAAATAAGTCCATGTTGCTTTCGCACCAATGGAATAAGTAGATATCACATGGAAGATGCCCAGCACAGAACTAGCCTCATTAGTGATGTTAAATACTAGCTAAGTAAGATATTCCCAAAAAGGAAGGAAGGATAGAAGCCAGGAAGGAAGAAGAAGGCGAGCGGGCAGGTGAGCTGGCTAGGTGGTTTCAAGAATTCAAGACAGTTTTGTCTGGAAATTTTGTCCTTCCCAAATTCTCTTTTGTGAAAATGAGCTAGAAGGAAAAATAATTATGAAAATCTAGTTATATGATTAGGTTTAAAATAATATATAACACGAATTTCAAAACTACACAAAACTGTAAGAGAGGTGCAGCCTTCAAAGACACATTAGCCATTCAATTAACCATAAAAAAAACCACACAAAGTGATTAGTTTTCTAACAGGTATTGACAAATCATTTTAAATTCTGGAGGCAGTTGAAAAACATACAGGGATCACGCAGCCAGTTGATGCTTTCTAGTGGCCTTAACTAACAATATGTTCTAATCAAAGAGAGACTATGTTAAAATTTTAATTAATCTGAATAATCTTCCTAAGATCTGAATCATGTTTACTTTGAGATTTTCAAACTGCAATCGTCGAGAGCCTGCAGGGCCAATGGACAACCCCAAATTCTTACTTGTCAATTCCTTACATTACAATTTATAAGAACCTTATAAACAGATATCATATCTTTCTTATGGCTAGAATGCTCTGCTTCTTCCTCTAAAGAGCATTTGCAGCAGAAAGTTAGCATTCACAGCACATTACCAGTAGCAAAAATCCAGTTAGAAACATTAGCATAAAAATAGACACAGAAAAAATAAATTGTTTTAAGAGAGAAAAAAAATGTATTTCTCTTAATTGTGGTGTTTTCTTCCTTTTAAAGAGCTAAGTGTGCATCTAGTGGCAGCACCAAAGTTGTCAACCTAACTGCATATGGTGTTCATCGGGGTGAGATGTCATAAAGGGATAAATGGTTTCTGAAGCAACTGGATTCCCATAATCTCAAACCCAAGTGGGAAGCAATGACAACTGTTCTGTGGCAAGGAGAAATGGCTTTGTTTTTTAATTATAAAATATTTTAATAAATCAAACAACCTACTTATCATAGACCTATTTGAGGAGGTGGAATAATGAGTTGCTTAATCAATCCCCAAAACCAAAAGCTAAAGTGACAAATTTGAAGAGACAAAGAACAAATGCCATCACTAAGGGTAAAAGGAGGGAGAGGAGAAGGGTTGAGAAAATGAATTGAAGAAAATGGTTAATCACAAATCTGGTATAATAAAGCAACACATTTGTTCCTGGGGGAATGGAGGAGTTGGGAAGTGAGAAGTCTCAAACTTTGGCCTTGGTAAAGAAACAAATATAATTAGTAGCTCATATTCACCAGTTCTTGCTATTAGAATTAGAAATCTAAGATAAAATTTTATCTTTAAATCTCAAGTTCGGGAAGAAAAATAAACAGAACATCTGATGGCTAGCATATATTAATCATTAGTAAAATTTTCAGTCTCGTGTTCACTTTGGCAGTACATATACTAAAAAAATTTTCAGTCTCTGGAGCATAAATCTTTTCTAACTTGCTAATGGAAATCAGGATTACTAATAAATCAGATACGAGAAAAAGTAATCTCATTTTAATTCGAAATAGGATATAGTTTAGTTTCTTCAATCAAAGTCATAATTGCATAAGTCACTGACTTTTACATAAGTTGTACTTCAATATAAAATATATATACCAAAAGAAACATAGCAATTAAGTGGGAAGGCGATGGAATTCCACAAACATTTACTACTTCTTACTCTAGATAATGTAAAAGAAGGCATGTTTGATAAAAAATGGATGCCACAAAACTGTGTGAGACTTCCTTATTATTACGTTTCAGTGTAACTTCTATAAATTTAAAGGAGCCTCAGATGTAAAGTGGGAATAATACTTATCTTTAAAACACTTATATTCTTGTATGATACAGAAAGCACTCGGAATTGTGTTTAGAATATGGCAGGCCCTTAAAATTGGTAGCTATTTTATTATTATTAATTGTACGATGACATTTAACATTTTATCATAATTACTTTCAGGATTAAAATGATAGCTTATACTTATGGGCCAACACTGAAAGATTTTTTGCATAGTAAGATTTAGCATCAAAGAACTGATGACTAAACAAAACAGTCATTGGTTTTATTTTCATTTAGAGAATGAAAAGGCAGGTATTGATATTTGGAAAATAAGAAAATACAATTACAGATGTTGCAGCTGTGTAAGAGTTTACTGAGCAGAAGAAACTCATGTTCAACTGTGCTACAGGACTTCTCAGTATTACCCAATACTCTGAGGCAAGTTTTTTGTATATCCTTTCTTAGGGGCAGCTGCTAACTTTTTATTACTCCTTTTGTAGCCACTTTGTTTTAAGGAGGCTCTTCCCTTTGAAACAGACCAAACTAGTATTTTTTTGCTATTGTAATAAGCCTTATTTCTTACATATATTCATCCACATGTCCAGAGTTTGTTCAGTCATATTTATGTCCCTGGGTAGGAAAACCAGAAGATGAGATAAAAGACCTTAGAGATCATTTACCTATTTGCCAACTGACAATTCATTCTTATCCTTTCCCCTTTAACAGGGAAATTAAAGTTAAGGCCCTTTAATGTGTAAAGTGAGACTTATCGAACTTTAGTACTGTCAGGCATAATCCAAACCAGGCCCCAGAGAATTTTGTCTCCTACAACATCATTTCCACCAGTCTGCATACCCATCCCACTGTCCAGCTCACTTCTGGAGTTCCCATTAGGAATGATCTTCAGCACTCCTGGCACATACCCCTTCGTCCTTTGACGGTGGCTTTGATTTCTGGAAACAGTCCTAAATCTTTGGTTCAAATTGAGTTAGGTAAACAAAGTACATGGGGGACACTGACTATTCATGCAGTGATCTTGAAAATTTCATGGACTAGGAATCACCTACATTTTTTTTTTTTTTTAAAGGCAAGTCCCTCAGCCCCATTCCTTCAGATTCTGATTCAATAAATCTGGGGTAAGGCCCAGGAAACAGCCTTTTTAATAAGCTGCCAACCCCACCCCAGGTGATTCTGATGCAAGTGGTTAATAGACCACACTTCGAGAAACCCTGCTTTCAGGACACATCTGTTTTCCTGAGGCTTTATGTTGTCTCTGAAGGAGTTTTTAAAGAAGTTATCGTCAAAATGTTTTGGGCAATGGCAGCTTCACTAGACCTGAGGTGGTTAGCATGTTGAAGATGTTAATTCTCACCTGCTTCACTTGTATAGATGAGCTGCAATCAGATGTGAGACAAATAAATATCTCTAAAGTCTGT